CTTTTGGACTCGGTTTCGAACCCCTCAAATGAGCCAAGGCAAAGTCCAATGCACGAAGAAGAGCTCGCACCCAGAAAGATGCAATGTCAATAGAATCATACCCTCTCACTTTAAATGGACAGTTTATAAAAGAGGGAGAAGACTACCCATGCTACAAATTCCCGGAACCACTTGTCAAGAATGGGATACGCCAGCCTGGGTTCGAAATTTTCCTAGATTGCAACTTTCTTGACAAGATCCCTACTCCTGTTTATAAGGAACGAGCACACCCATGCTTCAACTTTAACATCATGGGTCTCCTCTTTGGGTACGAGAAAAATTGAGCCTAAGCGCGTTGATGACAACTCCGTGCTTATACAAACAGCGGTACATAGTGAAAATTTTGACCCCTCCAAGCTATCACTCCGGTAGAAGGACTACTCAAGGCATGATCACAGTGGGGCTCAAAGTTGAGTTTGAAAAATTCCCTACAGCCGCATACAAAATGCATTGTTATTTAATTTATTTTAAAAAAATATTAGAGAATCAGTAAAATAAGTTTTAATCAGTAAAAATAATATTAGTTTGGTAAAAATACTTTCAGTTCAGTGAAAATAATTGAAATTCAATAAAATACTTTCAAGTCAATAATAACATAGATATCTATTTACAAACAAAACTATACAAAATACACTCCACATCATATCGTATGTCCAAATATCCTACATTATCAGAACGAATTATTTGACTGTATTTAACGTTCAAGTAAAAATGTTATCTTAAAATTTTATCAACCATCTGGGCATCGCCCGGACACAAAACTAGTATATAAATAAAGTAGGTTTTTTTGGAGAACGTAAAAAATATAATTATTTTGGCCAATAAGAAAAAAGATTTGTATTTTATTTTTGAATTAAAAAATAATATCGCCACCTAGATACAAGTAACGAATTAGATTTGATATTTCTAAAATTTTAATGCCACATATATTATAATCCACGAATTAAATTATTTTAGTGGAAAAAATAAAGCAAAAATATATAGGAAAAAATAAGTCTCCAAAAAGATATTTAATTGGGTTTAAATTATGAAAATATCCTACTATCCAAAAATAACCTCCACGTAACTATACTTGGTGGAGAAATATGGTGGGTTCAAATATTAATTTTTTAAATTTATGATATGGTGAAAATTATCTCCACATAACTATACTTGGTGGAGAAATATGGTGGGTTCATTTATTAATTTTTTTAATTTATGATATGGTGGAGAAATATGGTGGATTCAAATAGAAAAATACGTAACTATAATATGATTTTTATGAGTACATGCAGATATACATGGAATGAGAATATGATTTCATGATAACCCAATCATATCATTAATATATAAAGCCGGTCTCGCAGCCAGGCCATGAGACAGCGACACTTGATATTCCAGTTTTTTGCCAAGTGTCGTGCCACGTAGGCGACAAATAGGATGTTAAATAATTGAATTTTGGATAGATTTTTGAAGATAAAAATGTTGTGTAGAGTTTTATTATTGATACACTACTAATATTTCATATATACAAAATTAATCATAACTTTCAATAAAAATCTAATAACTCGATTCCATTTGCATCATAAAATTCGTTTTAAAAGGTTCTTTAAAATAAGATTCATTTACAATATATTTAGAATAATAGAGATTTAGTAAAAATAAGTTTTAATCGGTAAAAATACTTTCAGTTATTTAAAAATAATTGAAGTATGATATTGCATGTCTAAATATCCTGCATTATCAAAAGTGATTATATGACCGTATTTAACATTCAAGTCAGGCCAAAAGGTTTATCCTAAAATTCAATAAAAAAAAAAAAAAAAACCTGGGCATCGCCCAGAGCGCAAAACTAGTAAAATAAATAAAAAATATTCAAATGATATACAATTATAATAAAGTTTGATACCTACCATTATAAGATAAATTTTGATAGTATTTATGATAAGAAATAAGGATTGTTCGTTAATTATAATTAAATTTAAATTTGTAATACATATCCTTATAAATTGACATATCAATACAAAACCCCATCAAGCGAATTTTGTGTTAGTAATTTTGTGTTAATTTTTGGTCTTCAATAGCCGGGTAATTTATAGCTTAATTTTTAAAATCCTATGTTTAATTTTGTATTTGTAATTATTACTTACATTGTGTTAATTTGAGATACTTAACGATTATATATTTATGTTATATTTACTAAATTTTGTTTATACATGCAGATCTAACGCATCATACGACACCAACGAAATTTAGTAACAATACAAAACCCCATCAAGTGAATTTTGTGTTAGTAATTTTGTGTTAGTTTTAGGTCATCATCAATGTACGGGTGATTTTTAAAATCATATATTTGAACTTATATTTATAATTATTACTTACATTGTATTTATTTGGGATACTTAACGATTATCAGTTTATGTTTTGTTTACTGAATTTTGTTTTTACATGCAGATCTAATTTAATAAGATAATTAAATTCGAACAAAAATGATTGAAAAATCAAAGTACAAGTTTCTTGCCTATTTGACGTACTGTATTAAATTTCTGTAAACAAGATAGCTTAAAAGTTTGGATACGAGGAGGTTTTTTTTTTATAAATTGTTTAATTTACATTTATTATATTTTTTTATTAGCCTTTTATTTTTTTATTAATTAATTTTATTAAAAAAAATAAATTTTGTAATTTAAGTGGCTTAATCAATTTATTAAATTAACTTAATTTCTTATTTTTAACTATAGGGTGATTACGTTCATGCCTCAATTAACGCCAGCTTAGCTAGCTTAGTTTAGTTAGTAAGAAATTTTATGTTGAGAATTGTCAAGCATATATGGTTGAAATTAATTTGTAAAGTATTCGATTTGATGCAACTATTCAAGTTAATTTTTTGGCCTTTTATACATATATTTAATGCAACTATTTCAAATTAATTTTAAAAATTGTAAGAAGAAGCTAAGGCAAATGGCACACGATTTGATATTGTATACTTATTATATGGATGGATTACATTATTATTGGAGATGATGAAAAAATTCCAATGCGGAGATTTGATTTTATACAACTACAATTTTCTGATCAATTTTGCATTATTATTTTATTTATTGGTAAATATATTGATTTATTTTATATAAATGTAAATATTTAATTTATATCAATTTTATTTTTGCTAACATTTCACTGTTCAATTTATCCATCTTAATTAGATGTAGTAGGTATGGTTGTGAATGAAGTTGGTGATTCTATCAAAATAAAAGATATGGTATACAAAACACAATGAATAATGATTTAGGATTTAAATTATTTAAAAATTTAAAAAATTATCTTTTCACATTAAAGATTTTATGTAACGGATGAAATATCATATTTACAATTTATTTATACTTAATAAATTCAATTATAATGAATAACATCGTATTTTAAATTACTGTACAAAAAAAATTAAAATTAAACTTTTGTAATTTTGTCTGCAATTATTAAATATAATAAATCAAATAATTAAAACCTTAAATGAAAAAACTGTGCATCGCATGGGCTTTCATCTAGTTAATTATAAACTTGTGCAAAGTGTTTGGTTGACATAATGGGCCGGGAATTAGTATTTTCTAGGAAATAACTTCCTGTGCACTTTAGGACTTCACTCACCTAAGAGAGGCTTGATGAGTTATTTCCTGTGCTACGTGAAATTTACATTTTCCTTGAAAATTCCATTTCCTAGAAAATTTCTAACCAAACACGGCGTATTTTAGCTATCTATACTAATATTTAATAGCAGGAACTTTGCCAAATAATATATGCTGCCACATGTCCCACTCTTATTGTGCACTTTTTTTAAAAAAATAAATTCTTTCAATTATTTATTCCTTCATTTTTGGATGTTGTTTCATGAAAAATCACTTATATTTTGTGCTTCTCTTCTTCACCTACATGAAGTTGGTTTATTTCAAAAATACAATTAATTGTTCACTTGTGTCTCTTGGTTGGTTCTATCAATTTCTTAAATAATACTCATACGGAGCATGATATAGTTTGAATCAAATATTATTATCTCTTCATATATCTTTTTATGTGTAAAAATGAAAAATTGAAAATATGAAAAACATTATTATTTTTACCATTAATCTTTCATTATTATACTAGTATATATAATTTTTGTATTCATAGGCATATTTTGGTTTAATTCCAATTGAAGAAATGTACAATTGAACAACTTCTTACCAAAAAAAAACAAAAAAAAAACAATTGAACAACCTATCATAATTTTTTTTGATGTTCCACCCGATTCATTTTTTGGGATAATCCGAATTTGGGGATCAGTTCTGAGTGGTTAGGTTCCAGTCCCCTCCTAATTGTTGTTGCAGGGATCGAACACGAGCTGTCCCTACCAAGTGCAGTCCTAATCACCACTGCACCAACAACCATAAACATTTGGTAAAAGCTAACGAGCGCCCCCGGGGCGTTAGATAAGAGAGCTAAATGTGGAAATATTAAAGTAAAATTAACATTAATTACACCGATCGACGCGTGATTTTGTCATGCATTTCAAATTTAATACTATTTTAAGTAATATATTAAGTAGTTATCTAATGTCGTGGATGCTTGTTAGCAAGATTCTAAACATTTTAGCAAAACATTTATGCACGGGCTAAATACTAGTTGCCTTGAGATGTGAAAGGTCTAAAATTGGATTGACCAAAAATAGTGTTTTTAGCGGATCGAAAAGCAGACCGAATTATTCCTGTATAGAATGGACCGGATCAACAAACTCCCCACAAGCCCAATCCATTACAGTGGGCCTGCAGAACATAGTCCAGAAAACCACAACCGTTCATTTTGACGTACCAAACAATATCCCTAAAGTCTAGGGACTGCATTTAATAATAAAGAGTAAAATGAAGGGCCTAAAAGAAAAATAGAAAGAAAAGGAAGGGCATATTTGTAAAGAAGAACCTTCTCGAACCACTTTTTTCATATTCCTCGTGGTTACAATAAAAACCCAAAAGGACTTCCTTCATCAAATCTACCTGCGTTTTACCAAACTTCTTCAATTTGCGTAGGAAATATTCGCGAGTTTTCTGCCATTCAAATTCAAGGTAAATTAATTTTTTTCGCAATTTTTTATTTATGATTTTTCATTACGTATTCTCAATGATATTATTGCGAATTTCGCTGTTTTTGGTTGTTTGTTTCACATTAAAATCATCAGTGTTTACTTGTTTAGAAAAATATTGATGAAATTGTGAGTTATATGCTGATTAACTCTTTAAATCATTAGTTTTAGCTTATATGCGTTGATTTGTGTATTTTTCTTCCATTTTATCGATTGTGTGGTAGGTTATTAGGTTTTGTGAAGGAAATTTGATGATTTTTTTTACGAGTAACACAAATCTCTTATAAGATTGTGGGTTAAAACTTTATACGTAGTATTATTAGATGGGATAAAAGTTTTGAAGCAGTAAACTTTGTCAACTAGTTTAGTTGGTTAAAGTCTCGTGTCCCGTCTACATCGTTGCCTTGCCTCGTGGAGTTAGGATTTCATTATGGTGGGCATTATTTTCTTGTATCCATGAATTTAGTATCATTATTGATCCTTTAACCTCAATTATTATGTGTTTCCATGATAATAAGTACGAAGTATGTAATAGGATGAATTTTCTGTTATGTTTCTTTGTAGTTAATGGGTTTGTTATTGTTTCTTCTCATGATGATTGGTTTGTGAATGCAGAGAAAATGAGGGGACGAAGTTACAGCTACAGCCCTTCTCCATCTCCTCCACCAAGGAGTTATGGAAGAAGATACAGGAGCCCATCTCCGAGAGGCCGTTACAGCCGTGGGAAGGAGGCTCCCACTAGTTTATTGGTTCGGAACCTCCGCCACGATTGCAGGTTCGACCTTGTGGCTTCCCTATGTATAATATGTCATGGGCAATTTTGTGTCTAATTGTTTCTTCTGCAATGGTTGCTTGCCCATACCAATATTCATTTGTTTTGTTAAGTCCTAACCATTCGTATTTTGTGTGTAAAACATAGGCCGTAAGATAGCCAAAATTATCATTTATTTTGATTGTATTGTTACATATAAGCTATTTTTAGAGATAACTTTGGACATTATGCATTGTGGGATGAAATGTAAATGTGCACACTTTTTTGAACAGCTGATTCCTTCTTTTGGAAATGATAATTTTAGGCGTCATCCTTGGTGGTTAGAAAATGTTTTGTGATGGTGTCTACCTTATATACACACACACACACACAGAGCTATTTTGAGGGACAAAGAGCGGTGTTTTTGGAGCAATATGCTTTTGCTGGTTGTTTTCATGGCATCGCAGAGAAGAGTGTAATTTTCATTTGTGAATTGTTATGTGAATATAGTGGTTTGTATAAAATGAATATATTTCAGTAGTTGCTTTAAGTTTTGAAAATAGCCATATATTGAACTGTCTAAATCTACTGTCTTCATTTTCTTGCTATTTACATAGATGTTTTTAGAAACTTGTGCATCAAATCTCAACCATTTCATTGAGCAAGTACTTGGTTGGGCATCTTCGCTTTCTTTCTTCCATTAATTCATTACCTGGTGATTGAGAATTTGAGAAGCAACTAGAATCTGTTGTATTTTCTCATGGAAGATTTCAAGACTATATCTTCCACTGTCAGCCATAAGTTTTCTGTGTAATATTGATGGGTTTGGTTAGCTATTGGACCCCATGGTGTCACGGTCTAGCTGAAGCCAGATTATGGTTATCTGGGTCATCAATCATGCTTTAGATTATGATGTTTCACATTTTGACGCACCTTTCCTTCTTTTCAAATTTTCCATGAGAGGTTAATATGATTTTCTTTATCATATTTGAAGATATGTTAATTTTTACACCTCACATTATCTCTGCTCCTTTCCCTTGACAAGGTGACAGATAATTGTGCTCTTACAGTTCCTCCTATGTGTTGCTGACTTGCTTTGTCTCTCTTGTTAGAATTGCCAAAAAAAATTGTTTTTGTTGATATGAAAGGCCATCTTCTCTCATTGTAGTTGCCTCCTAAGTCTTTATACCAGCAGGCAGCAGTGACTTAGCTAAATTTTCTATGCGAGATTTGATATACTGATATGCAGAGCTATTTGCTTTAGTTTACCAGTTATTTTCTTTATTTGTACTCGTATTCTTCATGATGTGTTGTGTTTTAACATATGTTCTACTGTTGCAGGCCTGAAGATTTACGGGTGCCTTTTGGGCGGTATGGTCCTATCAAGGACATTTACTTGCCTAGAGATTATCATACTGGGTAAGTTTCAATGAAGTCACTTGTATTGTTTTTTTCAAAACATTTGTTTATTATTTGTTTCTTGATTTGAGCTCTAGGTTTAAGATTAGGATAACAGTGAGGGATTAATTTACTATAATGAGCTATCAAATGTATTACAGTTTTTGGTAAATCCATTTATTATATGGTTTGTGATGCATTGCACATCCTTTTTCTTTTTTTGCCTAGTGGTCTATGTTTATAGGGGATTTTTTTGGTCTTTGCCTGCTTCATAGTTATTTTTTCAAACTATTTCTTGTGTGGTTGTTTCAAGAAGCGTGTCAAGTTGGAGACACGAAGTAATTAAGAGTTTTGTTTTTTTCCTGAGAAGTGTCTAAAGATTGAAGATAGCAAGTTATAAGAGTTTGTACAAGATTGAGTAGTGGATGTCTTGTTCAAGATTTTCTTAGTGTTGATGAAGAATGGAAGAAAAGATTATGATTCCTTTGTGATGAAGACCTTGAAGTCTTCTCCAAGGTAAGCCACCAAATGACTGCTTTGTTGTATTAATTGATTTGTCGGAGGATCTATGTGGTTACTATCATCAGCCTGAGCAATACCTGGAGCTTCTGAACATAGTTTTGAACTTTCTTTTTTAGCATTCTTAATACTGGTTTATGAATATGTAGGGATCCTCGTGGCTTTGGGTTTGTCCAGTTTGTGGATCCAGCCGATGCTGCAGATGCTAAATATGAAATGGATGGTTATGTCCTGCTTGGAAGGGAGCTGACTGTTGTTTTTGCTGAGGAGAATAGGAAAAAGCCCTCAGAAATGAGGGCAAGGGAGCGCTTAAGGTGAGGCTTTGTTTCAGTTTCTATAAATATTTCATATCTTTTTCTTATCTGTTATGCGGGAAGCCTCTGATAATGCAAGGATTCTTATGGATTTATTTATTTATTTATTTTTTATTTATTTTTTTTAATTTGTGTTATAGTCCTTGCAACTAAATTATTTAGAGCTCTCATTTTGCTTCTGTGTGTGCTGTTAGGAGTCGGTCGTATGATCGCAAGCGATCCTCTTCACGTTATTCTAGGTCTCCAGTGTATGGAAGGGCTTATTCACGCAGCCCGGATGATTATTCACCAAGGGGCCGTTACTCACGGTTTGTTCATTTTTGCTTAAAGTTGAATTTTTGCATTATTTGAGAGATACTTGATAGCTTATACCTGCATTATTTCTTGTCAGGTCAATATCACCAGGAGGCAGGTCATATGGACGACGCTCATATAGATCTCGCTCTTACTCAAGATCCCCATATGGCTCGAGGAGTCGGAGTAGAAGCCCATATGGTAGCCGCAGCCGCAGCAGCTCTCCTGGATACTCTAGGTGACATCTTTAATGATGCAGTGGATCAGAGTCATGAATCTCGTAGTGTAAAATATCCTCTTTGGTGTCTTGATTTTCTGTTCTTGCGGAGCATGAAGCTGCCTTTTAACTTCTTAGACTGAATACGGTGTATTTCCTCGTTGGACGGTCTTTGTATAACGTTGGTTGAAAAATGTTGCGTATTGCAATGGAGTATGGAGTACCTAGTTACGAAATACTGCATTTCAATTCTTTTCATGTTCGTTGTTTATTTTTAAATAAGCATACAAAGTATGTTTGGTAGCATTGCCAACTAAAGATGATAAAAACTACCCTGACTAATCTGATTTGAAAGTGATTTGAGTAAAACTTTATTTGTGTTTTCGATTTGTATGGACACATTAATTTTAGTGTGACTCAAATGTCGTAATTCGTAAAGCATAAAGACCAATGTTGATGTCAATCTCCTAAGGCTAGCCAATTTTATTTGTAAATATTGTGTATGGTTATTCCTAAGAGTAAGAGTTTCTTGTCTGCCTCCATTGAAGGTGCTCATGAGCTTTGGTTTCTCCATTAAAGCTCTTTGGACTACAATTATGGAGGACACTCGAAAAAAATTACAATTATGGAGGAAAGAGTGGAATGGTAACCTGCAAATTACAATAAATTTAGATACTAACATAAATTAAAGTTGATCTTGGCCCCCTAATGTATTATTGTTACGCCACAGTTTCACAATATTATTAAATAACTTTTTGTAAGGATTTTAGACAATTATTTTACACTAATTAAAATAGTGTAAAATTGATAATAATACTGAAAATTATTGTGCGTGATACAAAACCTAACCTAGTTAGTGTAAAATGAGAGAGTTCAACACTTTGTAAGATTAAGAGACTACTCCTTATATTACCATATAATTTATGATGGAGCCTTTTTGAATTTATATAGTGAACTCTCTTAATTACCAAATTAAATAGGATATTCATTCTTTTAATTTTAGAGATAAACAAAAATGAAGTAACGCAACAAGAAAGTAAATTAAAAATATCATATGATTGCCAATCAAAATTAAAGTGATAAGAGTACGAAACAAAACTTTTGTAAAGTGAGAAATGTATAACAAAAGCTGTATTAGCCATGTGAAGTGTGAACTTAAATCAAATAATAATAATAAAAAAAAAAAAAAAAAAAAAAGTCCATATTAAAGTGACTGTAATGTGATTTTTTTTATTTTTTTATTTTTATTTTTAAATATGGACTTTAATCTAATGAAATGGTCTCTTATGTTAGGTCTCTTTGGTCATTTTAATTTTGTACTCTATACCATGTATCAAAATCAATTAGTTATTTTGATGAAATGTGATTTTAATTTACGATTTAAAAATCAAATCAAATAAGCTAATTTTTACTTTTTATTTTTAAAAGACGCCAAGAGACCTGTAAAGTTAGATAACCGTTCTCTCTTTTTCAAAAACAGAGACTGTCTAAGTTCGATAGGCGGTCTCAATTTCCCCAAAAAAGAGACCGCGTAACATCAATAATTGGTCTTAGTTTTCACATTTTAGAGACCGCCTTTCAGCAATATTTTCATTCTAGAGACCGCTTCCATCAAGGCAGTCTCTTTGCCAAAGAGACCGCTTAGCTAGAGATCGCCTCTAAAGTAGTCTCTTTGGCCTTTTTGGACTAGTCTCTTTGGCTTTTTTGTACTTCGTAGTAGTGTTATCTAGTTAAATACCTTTGCAAACCATGCCAAATTATTCTCAACCATTACTTAATAACCCCATTTCCACTCCACAACTCATCTTCAAAGTAAGGTAAGTGTTAAATTACGGGAAAACTTCTAAGATTAAGGTAGTTGAAATTGATCCATATATAATCATGGCAAACTTAATTAGCTTCAAAGTGGCATTCATGTTTTCAATAGCCTTATTGTTGTTCATCATATCCGGTGGCTACTCACCATCATCCACTGTCGATATCGAGTTCGATGTCGGGCAATGGATGGTCCCATCAACGACGTTGTCTAGCTGCCAAGGGACCATTGGGGAATGCTTTGAAGGGGATGATCAAGAGGAGTTCCTTGTTGACTCTGAGTCAAACCGGCGCATATTAGAATCAAAAAGGCATATCAGCTATGATGCGCTTAAAAAGGACCATGTTCCATGCCCCATACACGGTGCCTCATATTATAACTGCCGCCTAGGTGCTGCCGCCAACCCCTACCATCGTGGCTGTAGCCAAATTACTCTGTGTAGAAGAGGTTAAATTCTTCAATTGCATTTATTATCACTATTATTTTTATTACTAGTTTTGTGCCCCGTGCAATGCCGGGTTATTTATTGAAATTTTAAGATAAAACTTTTCATGTAAAATATACTAGAGCGAACCCGCGCTAAGCATGGAATATATTAATCGTACATGTCAATGTTATTTTATTCTCGTAAAAAAAATGTTATTTTATTACTATGGTATTATTAATTTATTTTGCAAATATGATTATGGGAGTTATTGAATTTATTTAGTGGAAGTTATAGAATAGGAAGTTATAATGGAAAATTATAGGTTATTAAAAAAAAAAAAAAAAAAAAAAAAAAAAAGATTAAAGTTAACATAATTTGAGGATTAAGATTTGGAGTGATGTGGTTAAAAGTTGGAAAAGTATCTCTTAAATTATATAATAGATAATATGTTATCTGAATTTTCTACTAATGATCAATAATCACTTGACCATACTTGTAAAATAAAAAAATATAGTAATATTGTTCATAAAGATGTGGGTAAAAATTCTAGCATAGTTGTCGACTACAGACGACTATGGTCGACTACAATAACAGACTAAATCTAAACCGTTGATATTTATTTATTTAATCCTAGCCATCTAATCCAACACCTATGCTATACAGTCATCAATAGCTTGTTTGGTTAGTAGATAATTTTTTTTTCACATGGAATTTCTTTTAACTAAAATTAAAAAAAAAAATCAAATTTTAAAAATTTCATCTTCAACGTAACCTTAAATCATATTTTAGATTAAAATTGAACTTCATCTTCAACCTAAGTCATCATCCTTAAACATTCCATCTTCAACCAAAAATTTATTTCGATGAATTTGTGAATCTATAAACATATAATTAATTGTATTCGTCAATTATAGTACTGTGATTCGAATAAAGGTCTAATAATAATTAAGTTGCAGTAATTTTTTTAGAGATTTGAATAACATTTATTTAAGTATTAATCAAAATGATTCATCCGCCATTGTTAAATGTTGAAGATACATACGGTGCAATTGTTGAATGTTAATTGTATTAGTCAATTATAGTAGTGTGATTCGAATAAACATTTAATTCAATGTAGAAATAATTAATTATATATCTTTTAAACAAATAATTAATTGTATTAATCAATTATAGTAGTGTGATTCGATTATTAGGTACGTATTATATTCACTTTTATTAACTTTATACATATTTCTTTCGAATAAGCATTCACTTTTATTAACTTTATACATATTTCTTTCGAATAAGCATATATGAAGTATTATGTTTTATGATTTTGTTTTTATTATTAAACTAGTTTTATGTTTTATGTTAACCGCCATTATTAAATGTTGAAACTCTCAAATGTAATATGCCATTGTTGAAGGTTGAAGCTCTCAAAGGTAATAAAATTAAATTGAGAAGGTGATGGCATGATTTTAGGTAAAATATTAAAATAGAATTATTTGTTTAATAAAAAATAAAAATAAAAACTAAATTAGAGGGAAGCGTTATTTAAGGGAGAAATTTACCTAACTAATTTTAATATTTAGGTAAAATATTACAATTGATTTATTCATTTAATTCAAAAACAATAATAAAACTGATTTTTTACTTTTTTGAAGATAAAAAAACCGAAATTAAAAAGAAGTGTTATTTGTTTTTTTTTTTTAAAAAGAAGCATTATCTTTTATTTTATTTTTGTTTGAAAGAAAGCTTTATATATTTTTTTAAAAGAATAAAAAAAAAAGCGTTATTTAAGGGAAGACTCAAAAAAATAAATAAATAAAATAAAATAAAAAACCTTATATTTTCCTAAATGTAATTGATTATTTCAAAAAAAATATATCTTTTCCCAATTTAATTGTTTTAATTAAAATGATACAAAAAAAAAAAAAAAAACGTTATTTTTTTTAAAGCATAAAAAGAAGTGTTATTTAAGGGAAGATATATATATATATCCTGCCACGTGTCACCTCGTGAGAGGTCTAAGGTGGACCAATCATGCCACGACACGTGGTAGACAGATAGCCAACCAGGAAAGCTGGCCTCTTACGGCCCAAATTCCCAGGCAAAGCCCAGTCACCCTAGGTTTACTAAAACCTAGTACTGGGCATGTTTTCCAACACCCTATAAAAGGGAGATGTTTTCCTCTGAGGAACATCTATTCAAAAATATAAAATTCACATTAACTCTCCATCAGAGAAAGTCAGACACCTAACACCTCGTACTGAGCAATTACACATTGCAAATTCTCTCTTGGAATCCGAGAGAGACCCTTTACTTTCCGCACTTTACTCCTCATACACGTTCTAACTTGATCGTCGGAGGCGGAACTCCCACCAATAGGAGTCTCCGTTGTTTTGCAGGTACAGGCAGCCGGAGGTCAGTCTTGGTGTTGTAACTCTCCCACAGGACACTCAAAAAACCCCGAAACATCTGGCGTTGTCTGTGGGGAAAGTAGTTCTAAGATGACTTCACAAGAACTTGTACCGTCCCTAAACGAGAAACGGTCCTTGGATGAAGCCCAGGTCGTTTTAGACCAAGATATAGATGACGACTATGAAGTCTCCACCCACATGGCCCCTGACGGGTCCCTCAGAACACGGCGCATCTGTCCCACCGAAAGGAGGGAATGGAACACCGACCAGGCAGGGCCTAGTGAAACAGTCAGCCAGCCGGCTGGACAGCTACAGGTGACCAAAGGATCCACCCCCATCACTAGAAACGAGCTCATGACAAGTTTCAAAGGGGAGATAAAGGATCTTTATTGATAAACGGACGGCTGTCCCTACCAAAGAACAGTCGGCCAAAAAGCCCTCTCATTCTGGGAGGAATAAGCCGGTCAAAGACCGAGAGGCCACTCCTTACCCTAAACCAAAGGGGGGACACAAGCCCTTGTTAAACTTGGCCGGACTACGGTTCCCTGAGCCAAGGAAGAGGAAAGCCATCTGGCATGTACAACCGGATGGTTCCAAGAAAACATATTCCGATGCTCGGATGATAATCCAGCAAAAGAAGAATATGCAACTGTCAGAGTCAGCATCCACGTCGAACTTCAATGACAGCTTCCAGAATGCCTCGACTAGGTATTCTCAATCAAACTGA